GTTCCAACCCATGGCCAGTCGAGCTGATTCTAACTCAAAGGGATCCTGTAGGTCACAATGGAATTGCCCCAGAGGGTTTCCAACGCTGTAATCGTCACGGAAGCAGACTGCCACATCTTTGGTCCAAGAGTGGCTGGTGGGTTTTAAATGCTGATCTATGGCTTAGAGGCCAAGCCCTTAGGTCCTGGGTCAAGACAGAGGCTGTATCAGGGCACTGCCCAGAAGGCTGCTGACCAGGAAGAAAGTCTTTAACATCTGAGAATTTGTCTGGACCCAGAACTGGGCAGCCCAAGATGAGACAGGCCAACCCTTTCATATCTTTCCTTCCTGCTCCCCAAATGAGAGTCTCATTGTCCTCCCACCCACCCCCGGACCTCACCTGAAGCCCTGGGGCTTGGCTTTGTCTCTCACCACCACCACCCTCCCGTGGTGGGTCTTGGACATTCAACCCCAAGTGGGCTAAGAATCAGAGCCACCTGTGTTGGGTCGCACACCGTGAGGTGCCCACCTGACTGGGAAGGCCAAGGCGTGGATCCAGGATCTTCCTGCTGCAGTCAGCCCCTGCTCCCCTGGATTTCAGCCTTCTTTGTCCAGTAAAAGAGGTGTTTGGAATACCTCCGGGGGTTGCAGTCTGAGCTAAACGAAATCCTGGCACCTCCCCTCCCCCCAGGGCTTCCATGGCTTTTGCCAATGCTCAATTCAAGTATAAATTCTAAGACATAATTCGGGTGACCGCACCAGGCACATTCCAGAGTGATACGTGAGCTTTGCCTGCCAGAGCCCACTTGGGCTCACACTGGTTTCCTAGGGATCCTGAGAACTGTTGGAAATTTGAACTCCGGGATGTTAAATAGCAGAGCACAGATGTTCTCTGTCACGTGCACTGGGGCCTCATGTCCTGCTACCTTTTGTTTTGTTTGTTTTTCAGTAAAAGCTGAGGTTTAGTGAGATGAATTCCTAGTTTTGTTTTGTTTTGTTTTTCTTAACAGTTTTATGGGCAGTTCATCCACCTATCATAAATTCTATAGTTCAATGATATCAAGTACAGTTGTTCAAGCACAACCACAATCAATTTTAGAACATTTTCTTCTTCCTTATTCTCATTGATGTGTGTAATTATTTTCTTCAATTGCGGCAAAAACACAGGTATGCACAAGGAAACATTCTCCACTTCACCTACTTCTATATGTATAATTCAGTGCCGTTGATCATACGCTTCATGTTGGACAGCCATCATTGATATCCCTCTTCAGATTGTTCCACCACCATGAAAATAAACTCAGTGCCCCCCAAGCAAAAGCTCTTCCTGTCCTGTTGCGTTCCGTTGGGAAAAGGATCTGCTTCCAAGACAAGTCTGCCAGACCTAGGGCTCCCCTCCCGAGAGGGACAGGAAAGGAGAAAGAGCTATGGCCAACGTCTGCTGAGTTGGGACATGGACGGGGGCAGGCTCTCAACAGATTGTAGAGCACCCTGCAGCAGGCAGGTCTGAGCCTAGCCCAAGGCAGCTCTGGGAGTCATAGCAGGTAACAGCAACTGGCCCAAAATGGAAGAGGCAAACTCCCCTTCTGCACTAGGACAGAGGGTGCTGAGGGCTTCCTGGAGTGGTGAGAAGCCACCACTCAGGGCACCAGGGCTTGAGACCAGAACAAACACGATCTTGAAACACGCAGCTCTGATGTGCCCAGGGCGCACACCTCGCCCATGGGCATGCATCTTGTGTTAGTCCGGGTAGACTAGAGAAACAAATCCAGGAAGACTCATATATGTGTATAAGAAAGAGCTTTAGATACAAGAGCAATTGCACATTAAGGAAGCATCCCAGCCCAGTCCAGTCCAATCCCATAAGTCCGATATTAGCCCATATGTCCAGTACCAGTCTATAAATTCCTCTTCAGACTCACACAACACATGCAATGACATCGAATGCAGGAAGATCACAAGTGGCTGAAAAGTCTTGTGGATCCAGTGGCAGTAGAGGCATCTCAGCCTTAGCAGGGGTCTCCACATGGTTCCTTCAGCTCCGAGGCTCTGACTGCCATCAGCCTGTCTCCTGGTGGCTTGTCAACAAGAATGTCTCTCTGGTAGTGAGTGTGTGTCCTGCCTCCAGTGAGCCATTTATCTCTTTAGGGCCTCCAAATGAAGTCATCAGGCTACAACCTGATTGACAGGATAGACTCTACCCCTTCACTCTTAATCCTCTCACATTGACACCAGATTATGTAATTACCACACATCTGATCTTCACAGATGCACAAGGAGGGTTAGCATCTGTGGTAGTTGCATAATCTGGTGTCAATTTGGAACTTGAGAGGATTAAGAGGGGAGGGGCGGAATCTAGTCCATCAATCCAGAGATAGTCGATGAGACTTCTGTGTGGGCATGGCATTCTCCTGAGAATTTTGGGAATTCCTGATTTTCCTCCTTGGAGGGAAGAGAGATTCTCTCTCTTCACTTCCTGGGAGACATCCCTGAGGAGAAGCCACATGAACCTACCCTGATGAAGCCCTGGGTGCTGGAGAAGCTATGTGGAGACCTCTGCCAGTGCTGAGATGTTTACAACGCCACTGGATCCAAAAACTTTGTACCCACTGGCCTGGGATAATCCGGCATCATTGCATGTGTTTTGTGAGTCTGAAGAGGACTTTATAGACAGCTTTTGGACATATGGGCTAATATTGGATTTATAGGACTGGACTGGGTTGGGATGCTTTCTTAATGTACAATTACTCTTTATATAAAACTCTCTCTTATGCACATATGAGTTTCTATGGATTTGTTTGTCTGGTCTACCCAGACTAACACAGCATCACTTCACAGAAAAGGGAAATGGAGGCCCAGAGAGTTAAGTGAAGCCGGCCAAGTCCCTCAGATAGTGAATGATAGGCTGAGATATGAACCCCACCCGGGGTGGTGTCCAAGAATGAGACAGATGAACACCCCAGGTGACACTGATACAGGTGGTCCATAGATGCTTTCTGAGAACTACTTCATGACATACAGCTAGGTTCCAGGTACAGTGAACCCTCGCCACTTCGCGCTTCGACTTCCGTGGCTTCACTCTATCGCGGTTTTTGCGTAACAGCACCCACTGCCTACACCCACTCCTTCAGAGGAAAAAGACGGCGACCCACCTGTAGAGTACATCCCTTAAGTCATTTCATAGGCTATTGATTACAGTATTTGTAAGAACTATGTATAATAATACTGTATGTTAAATATGTAATACTGTAAACTAGATGCCATAAATAATATAATAAAAAATAAATGATAATTGTAACGTCCAAAATGTTTTACTGTATTTTCCCTTTTTCGTTTAATAAATTAGGTAATACGAGTGTAATGGTGACTAAAGGGTGTTTTTTCATGTCCTCTATGCTCTAACTACGAAAATATTTGATTTACAAATAAGGAATCCTACTTCGCGGAATTTCATTTATCACGGTAGGGTCTAGAACCGATTAACCGCCATAAACGAGGGTTCACTGTACTGGGATAATGAGTGAGGCTCAAATGAGTTTGATCAGCAGAAGCCTGTCAGCAGGCTTGGTGTTTTACCCACGAGGGAACTCTGGCCCTGCACTGTCTTAAAGGTGTCTCTGGATACCTGGCAAAGTAAGCCCCTGTCCTCGCCTTTGCTTCTATTTACCCATCTACACAGTGGGGCGTGGGTTTGATGAACCTATGAAGGGCTAATTGCCCTTCCTGCTCTGACATTCTGCCCCTCAACCCACAACCTCCATGACCTGGGAACTGGCCGAAGAGCCGGGAGACTGGGGCTCAGAGTGGGTGAGGGTCTTGCTCAGGTCAAGCAGCTAGCAGGTGGTGGAACCCGGGTGACATACCCATGGGTGGTGTGAGCGGTCCAGCCTGGTGCAGGCAAGCAGGGGGCATATTGTTCTAGAGCCGTGGTTCTCAACCTTCCTAGTATTGCGACCCTTTCTTACAGTTCCTCATGTTGTGTTGACCTCCAACCATAAAATTATTTTTGCTGCTATTTCATAACTGTCATTTTGCTACTGTTATGAATTGGACCACCCCTGTGAAAGGGCCATTCGACCCCCAAAGGGGTCTGGATCCACAGGTTGAGAACCGCTGTTCTAGAGGGTCACTATGAGTTGGACCCGGGGTGACAATGTGGGTATTGACGATGCCTCGTCTACAGGACACGTAAAAACAATTACAGAAACAGGCAGCCCTGGGGAAAATTCATGAATTCAAACATTGATGTCTTCCCAGAACTTATGAATGTTACCTTATTTAGAAATCAGGTTTTTCAGGGATGTAATCAGGTAAGTGAAAGTGAGGTCAGACTGGATTAGGGAGGATGTGATGGATTAGTGACGGATGTGCAGATGAGAGGGACATGTAGAGACATGGGCACACACAGGGAAGAGGGCCACGTGATGACGGAGCCAGAGATCACAGTGATGCATCTACACGTCCCAGGCTGCCAAGAGCTGCCAGTAACTAGGTGGGTTCTTCTCTGAGTCTTCTCAAGGGGCATGGCTCTAACAACACCGTGGTTGCAGGCTTCTAGCTTCTAGAACAGCGAGAGAACACATTCCTGTTCATTGAAGCCATCCCATTTGTAGTTCTGGCTTATGACAATCCTAGGACACCAATCCATCCACCGAAAGTCATGTGCGAGCAATTCCAAACGCTGTCAGGGAGAACGGCTCCTCCCCAAAGGGTGACCTGCTCCACTGCCCCTCACCGTGGAATGCTCTCCAGTGCCACTCTGCCACACAGTCTCCTGGGATTTTGAGGGTGTGCCCTATAATGAGGCTTGAACTAGAGGGGAGTGGTGAGGACAGGGCAGTGAAGGAGGAGGAGAGGAAGGAGATGGAGGGTACCTTGTCGGGAGGAGACCCCAGTGGTGTGATCTCCATCCAGCCATACTAGCTGTGACAAGGAGACACAAGGGAATGTGGCCTAGGCATCGGGAGAGCCCGTTTGTTTCAGCTAAAACCAGGTGCCAGCAGCAGTGGTAGATGAACAACATGAAGCAGAGCAAGACAGGAGGTTGGAAAGAGGCCTCATTAACAACCTGTGATCCTGACAGCAGCTACTTCGTGGAGTGGATCCCCAACAACGTCAAGACGGCCGTGTGCGACATCCCGCCCCGAGGCCTCAAGATGTCGGCCACTTTCATCGGCAACAGCACGGCCATCCAGGAGCTGTTCAAGCGCATCTCCGAGCAGTTCACTGCCATGTTCCGGCGCAAGGCCTTCCTGCACTGGTACACGGGCGAGGGCATGGACGAGATGGAGTTCACCGAGGCCGAGAGCAACATGAATGACCTGGTGTCCGAGTACCAGCAGTACCAGGACGCCACGGCCGAGGAGGAGGGCGAGTTTGAGGAGGAGGCCGAGGAGGAAGTGGCGTAGGGCGGCCGGCAGGGAAGCAGAAGCATTAGCGGTGTGAACTCTTTATTCACTCTCAGCCTGTCAGTGTACACGTCTCACTGTCCTGCACTTGCTGTCCTTCTGTCTCACATCACACTCACACACACAGAGCAAGACAGGAGGTTGGAAAGAGGCCTCATTACCAACCGCCGACGACACAATCCTGCTTCCTGAAAGCCAAGACTTGAAGCACGAACGATGAAGACCAAAGAGCACAGTCTTCAGTAGGGATGACCCCTCAACATAAAACAAAATCCTCCTAATTGGACCGGAAAGAAACATCAAAGTAAATGGAGAAAATATTAAGGTTGTCAAGGTTTTGATTTTATTTGGATCCACGATTCATGGCCATGGAAGCTGCAGCCAGGGATTCAATCAACTGATTGCATCAGGAAAACCTGCAGCGAGTGACCTTTTCAAGGGTTCAAAAGCAAAGGAGTCACTTTTAAGGACTAAGGGACATCTGACCCAAGGCCTGGTGTTTGCAATTGCCTCCTCTGCATGGGCAAGTGGGACAACGGACAAGGAGAACCAAAGAAGAATCGATCCGTTTGAATGATGGTCTTAACGAAGGCTACTAAATATCCCATGGGTTGCTAGAAGAATGGACACATCTGTTTTGGGGGGAGTACAGCCAGAAATTATTTTTAGAAGCAAGGATGGAGAGCCTTTGGCTCATGTACAGAAGGGTCCGGCTCCTGAAGGACATCATGATGGACAAAGTAGGGGATCGGTGGAAAAGAGGAAGCACCTCATGGAGATAGACTGACCCGGTGGCTCTAGCAATGGGCTCAGACACAGCAAGGACTCTGGGGCTGGCCCAGAGCCAGGCAGTGTTTCGCTCCGCTCTACATAGGTCGATGCCAGTTGGAATGGACTGGATGGCATTGAACCAAAGCTATATACCAGAGACTGCCTTTTTCTCTGCCATCCCACCTTGCCCTGCCCCACATCCCATCGGATGGCACAAGCTCTGCCAGTGCTCGGACTGTTTTTGTGATGCGTCACGCCCAGGGAAATGAGAAGGGTTCCCTCTCCCCATCCCAGATTCTCCAGGAAGCAGATGCAGACGGTCCTGGCCTTATAGACACCTCTTCAGAGCTCAGAGGAAGCTGAGGAATGAGGCAATAATTTGGAGAATTCAGCCCCACCTCCGGCAGCTGTCTATGCAGGTTAGGATAATGGGAAGAGGCAGGACGTGGTACCAGAAGAGCTCGTTTCTGGCCCTGATTATGCCGCTCGCTTGCTGCAGTCATCTCTCCTCTCTGGTGTAGCTTCTCCTCTGATTATCCATTCACTCACTTTTTCACCACATAGGTAGGTATCAAATGCACATTGGCCAGGCAACTGTGCACAGGGAAATAACGACTGCAGGGATGTAGAGGGACCAGAACAGCTCCCCTTATCAACACCTAGGAGGGCCCTATGTCTCCATCCCTTGTCTCAGGACTGACTTGGAACTTGCTTTGACCAATAGAATGCTGAGAAAGTGACGTGTAACTTTTGATCTCATTATCTTGCAATATTCCCCCCCCCCCACACACACACCCAATTCCACTTGTGTCGCCTGGCCAAGCCCCACCCTCCACCCCACACCTCCAACCCCTCCCCAGCCTCCTGTAACTGCTGGTCCCTGCTTCTGCTTGCTGGCTCACCAAGCCACCACAGCCAACCCTGTGAATCCAACTCCCCTTCCTTACAAAATGCTTCCGGACTGGGAAAGCGGGGCTCAGTCTCTGGATAAGAATCCACTGAGCCAGTGTGGACACAATAAAGTCCTTCCTTTATCAACTCCTTCAGAGCGACTCTGGTAACGCCACGAGTGACGCTGCCGCGAAGGCCCTGGGCCAGGGAAGGCCTCCGTGGGTAGAAGAGGGTGGGACCAGAAGCAGGCTGTAGGACAAGAAACCAAACAAACTCATTGCACGGGGCACCCATCAAAGGTGTGCACCCGAACCAAGGTTTTCAAGCCCCAGTCAGCAGGCGCAAGTCACCTGGGGAGCCTGTTAGAAACTCAAAGTGCCAGGCCAAACTCCCTAGAGATTCCGATGTTCAGGATTCACTTCTGCAGATCCTCATCTGACTGATCTGGCAGGCCATCTTTAAAAAACCAACCAGGCAACAAAAACCCCAAGTCCCCTGGTGCTTTCTCTTCAGGGACGGAGGCTGAAGAAACCGCTCCCAGAACCATGTAAGGAGATGCAAACCCAGACCTGTGGGGATCAGGCTCCACATGGAGATTCAGGATCCATTGGTCTGGGGGTGAACCCTGGGGGTGAACCCTGAACCCAGATTTTTCAAGACCCTTAGGGGCTTCCCATGTGCAGCCCGGGCTGGGCATCGCTGCTGGAAGTTTCCACACAGCCCGAGTGCGTTCCTATAAGTCTCTAGAGACACCAGGGTTCCCGGGTGGGTCTTAAGCCTGGGTGTTTTAATACTGAGGAGGCGCACCCAGACCTGAGTGTGAGGTCAGCCCTTCAGGCTGCCCTTCCAGACGCTTCCCAGGGGCCCTGCAGGGGCTCCTGTCGCTTTCCAAGTCCCCTTCAGGTATATTGGTTTTACAGTGGAGAAAATGCCTACCACCGCACACGCTTATCCTCTTTCCTCTGGGGCCTTACAGAGGAGTCAGCAAGGCTGAGTGCGTCCTCACTTGCTGGACTGCTAATTGAAAGGTGGTCAGCAGTTCAAATCCACCAGCCTGGCTGGGGGAAATAGATGAAGCTTTTTGCACCTGTAAAGATTTACAGCCTCAGAAACCCCAGGGAGCAGTTCTATTGTGTGCTGTCCGGTCTTTAGTTGTGAGTCAGAATCGACTTGATGTCAGTAGGTTCTCTTTTGTGTGTGTGTGTGTGTGGGGGGGGGGGATGTCCTACAAGGAGCCCTGGTGGCACAAAGGCTAAAGCTCCCAACTGCCTAGGGAAAGCTGGCAGTCCAAGCAGAGCAGGCCGGGCGTCCGCTTCCATAAAGCGTTCCAGCCTTCAGGCAGTTGTACTCGGTCCTACGGGGTTGCTGTGAGTCAGAAGAGACTTGGTGGGCTTTTTGAGGGCCCTGCAAGGCAGCTCCTCCGTTGGTGTTCTGCCAACGTCCCCACGGCAGACAAGGACGCCATCGGTGGCTCAGCCTATCAGAACTGGTGCGTTGGTGCGTAGGTGATTTCTTGTCCACTTTCCTCCTCTTCTTCCAAATAAGGCCGGCCGGCCGCTGGGGCTGCTCCGGCAGCAGCCTGATTTAGCCCGGAGAGTGTGAAAGAATCCACGCTTGGCGCTTGGCTTGGGACCTGGAGACGGCTCGGAGGGGTGGGCGGGGCGTGTTCCGGACAGCTCGGCCCCGCAGCCCCTCTCCGCCTGGCCGCTCAGCTGGTGAGCAGCACGGGCTCTGAGAGGCTCGGTTCCCGGGGCCTCAGCTGGCAGCCACCCTCAGGGAGCACAGTCCGTGCCTGACACACATGGGGTCCATGGCCAAGAGTCAGAGTGAACTTGGCAGCAACCCGTTAGCATGGGGTCACCAAGTGGCAGCCTTGTCGTGAGGACTGCACCCCCATGAGGGCTGGGCATGGTAGGTGGTAGAGACCCCACTAAAGGAGTTTCATGCTTCTTCATGCCCAGAAAGGACCGTGCCACCTATGGAGGAGGGGAGGATCTTTTGGGAGAGCCCTCAGGGAAAGCTCACAGGGGTGGCCCATCCCAGGAGGACCCTGCCCTCTCTTATGCACACAGGACCCTGCCAGCAGGCCCTGGTGGGGCAGCCTGGCACCCTGCCTGTTACAGATGGCTACCCAGGGGAGGAGCTGGCAGGGAAGGGGTGAGGCCTGAGTAAGGAGGAAAGAATGAATAGAATGAGTCCTGACTCATTCACAGGCTCCGGTTCCAGGCAGAACAGGGTTTGAGTGGGGAGGGGGTGTGGCTGGGAGGAAGCCAGGCCAGAGGGCACGCCTGAGGCTGGGCTGGCTCCAGGGGACTGGGGGGCGGGGGGTGCTCACTCAGCTCTGGGACAGATCATCCTGGGCGGGGCCAGCTTAAAAATCAACAACTTGATAGTGTTTTCTTTTTCTAACTGCCCTTCTAACCGGGAGCAAGAGCAGTCAGCTTGGCAAAGCCCCGCGGTCCAGCAGCTTTTATGGAGTCCGCTTCGTGCCCAGCTCCGGGCCAGGTCCTGTGACCACCCCTTTGGGGAGACAGAACAAATCTGGGGTCTGGGGTCCACTTGGGCAGGGCCAGTATCTGCCATTGAGCTTGTACTCGCCACCCCCTCACTAGCCTGGACCTACCCCACCTCACCAAGCCAAGTAGGGTCTGCTGCGGCCCAGTCCTTCATAGTTGACAGGGCGAGTTCTACACAGTATAAAGGCCCCTCTGGGCTAGTAGTGGGGGACACTGGCACTGGAGACCCTATGCACCTCTTGGCATAAGTTAATTTGCATGGGGATAGGTAGACCTCGAAGACCCTTGGGTGGTACAAATGGTTTCCACTGAACTATGAACCGAAGAGCAGCCCAGGTGGCATAGTGATTAGGGGCTGGTCCGCTAATCACCAGGTTAGCGGTTTGAAACCACCAGCAGCTCTGCAGGAGAACACGGAGGCCTTCTCTTTCCACAAAGAGTTAGAGTTGGAAACTCACAAAGACGGTTCTACTGTATTCTATAGGGGCACTAGGAGTCTGAATTGACTTGAGGGCAGAGAGGGTTCTGGGAGGGTTCCACCCCCCACCCCCAACAGCTTTCTTGGCACACAATTCACATATTGTACAGGATAATCATTCAGTCACATCAAGGGGAACTGTACAATGACCACTGCATCTACTTTATAACTGAGCGGTGCAATCACTAGCAACTCTAGTGCTCCCGCCCCGCACCCCGCCTTTTAAAAATTAACCTAAAGCTTGGGAGTCAGAACCCACCATGGGGTGCTGTGAAAGGAAGGCCTGCCAATTTGCTCTCACGAAGATTACAGCCCCCCCCCCC